AATGGCCCTTCAAACTTCAATTTAAAACTAGAAGTAGTTTTATTTCGAAATCTGGCTGCTTTCATGTAGGTGGGGCTGTAAGTTTTTAGTAAAAACAAAACAGAAAATAACAATACCAGCCTCCAAGAAATCATACCTATGCAAGTAAAATAGTACTATACCCAGCAGTGTTACTTGTGAGTGCTGTTGCCTTGAGATCTGGATCTTTCCATGTTATTCTTTCACCATGAAAAACAACAGACGCACAGGGAAACGATCCCTTATGGTAAGTGAAACGGCATCTCCCTTGAAGACAAATGCCTTCAGAGTTTCTGAAGTTGGCTATAGGTAAGCATGTCTATAACAGGCTGAAAACAGGCATCAGGGGAAAAAATCCCGAGCATGAAAAAGAAATTAGGATTTTAATTCTGGTTTTCTGATGACCGTTTGTCCATGTTGCACCCTTCAGCTCTGCCACCACTCTTTAAAGAAGAGCTGAAGAACAAGGAAGCAGCAGAAGGTGGAGAAGTCATCCTGCACTGTGAGCTCACCAAGGCTGCTCTGGTGGAGTGGCGGAAGGACCAGAGGATTCTCAAAGCAAGTGAGAAATACAGAATGAGGCAGGAAGGGACGAAGGCAGAGCTGGTGATTCATGAAATAGCTGAGGAGGATGCAGGAGACTACACCTGTGTGTGTGGAGAGCACCAGACTACAGCCGTCTTAACAGTACAGGGTAAAAACTACCTTGACCTATTTCCTAACTGGAAACATCTGCCCTCTGCCATCAGCTGTTTGATTTTCCATGTCTGTTTGTTCAACCTGATTAACTGAAGTTCCATTCCTTTGAAAGTATTCCCTGCCTTTGACCTGCAGGCTGTGCATATTGGAAAATACTGGTCTGCATTTTTCTGTGCCATCCTTTTGTCTTTCCTTTTCCTTAAACACAAACCTGCTATCCCTTCATCTTTCCCTTCTGGCATTCCTTTCCTAGCATATAAACCCACTATTCTTTTGTCTTTCCTTTCCTGCATTTATTCTCTAAAACACAAATGTGTGCGTTCTTTGCCATTTCTTTCTGGCATCCTCAATACCCATCATTTTAAAGTAGCATAAGGTATAAAAAGCAGTATCCAGAATAAGGCTGTGTTCGTTATAATTTCTTCTGTACTGAGTTACATTTGTGCTGGGTTTTGTGCCCACAACCTCTGTCCTAATGCCCAAAGACAGATTTTCATTGGGAGACTGATTTTCGAAGCAAGAAAGAATAAATTCTTCCTGCGACCTCCTTCTGGTCTTTGTAGCAAGAACCAGTTGCTGTGCAAACAAAACTGGTGTTTCAGCTTAGCACCACTGGGGATGGGAAGTGTGCCAGATCGAGGAGGCTAAACCTGGTTTCTAGCCTGGATATTTTAAATTCGCTGCGCTACTATGAAGTGAGGCGCAAGTTTGAGATCTGAGATATCCAGCCTTGTTAAACAGATGGAATATCCCATTATCCTATATAGTTACTAGAGGGACATATGTGAAGGTCACTGAATTTATTTCAAGGGCACAATTGCAATGGGTACTAGAATTATGTTAAGTGGGGAATATATGTTCTGAGACAAGAAGACAGGCTGGGATTCAGCATCTGGAGATTTTCTTTGGGGTCGAAAAGAATCCGTGAGCCCTGGCTGTATCTTTTGACGGATATCTCAAGGAAGAAGGAAAGATGATGAGTAAGGAGCTGTGCCAACTCTCAGAGCTCAGCAGGGCTGCTCTGTAAGTAGGAAAAGAGACTACAAAGGCATGAAGTTTGTGAAAGACACCAACACATGTGAGAACTGAGGAGCTCAGAGATTATCTTCTTAGTTTTTCTTACGTGGAAATGGGTAGAGAGCAGGTGTAAATCTCTTGAGGACTGTGCAATTTCACTAGTAGGAAGCCAGCGTAATCCCAAAAGGATTAGGGTATATATTCCCACTAGGATGTTTTCATTTCTCTTTCCTTTCTTTGTCGCTGATGCTCACCCTTCCAAAGCCTTCATAACTTTCCCCTGCCACTTCCTGCTCTCACCCATCCCCGGAGGTATCCTCAGTTTGTAATACTTTTTACCTGCATCCTTCAGCTGTGCCTCCATTTTTCCAAGAAGAAATGTCCAGCAAGGAAGCGGTAGAAGGTGGAACGGCCACTTTGCACTGTGAGCTCAGCAAGCCATCTGCCCGTGTTCAGTGGAAGAAGGACCATCACATCCTCACCTCGGACAACAAGTACAGCATGAGACAGGAAGGCTGTGCTGTGGAGCTGGTAGTTCACGATTTAGACTTGAATGATACTGGAGATTATACCTGTGTGTGTGGAGACAAGACCACCACAGCTACCTTAACAGTGCATGGTAAAGTAATCCTTGGGACTAAGGTCCTCCAAACCTTAGACCTGCCCAAATCACTATTGCTATGGTCTGTTCCCTTTCTCTTCACTCGGGCTTCTGTGTTCCTTTGGACTTTATGTGCTTCCTTCTCGAGTTAGAATTGGGAAAAGTTGCCTGTTGGTGTTTGTCCTTCTCGGCTGTGCTGGTTCTTCTCACTTTCCTTGCCCTGATGCAGTGTCCAGGGAAGTCTGGGGAGGTTTTTCCATTGTGTTCCACTGACCTGGATCAGGGCTCAATAGTGTACCATGCACCCTCTCCCCCAGGACCTCCTCTAGATGCTTTTTAAGGAATATTCACTCTCTCTGTGGTAACTCTTTTACTCTCCAGCACTGCCTCCAGAATTCAAAAAAGACCTGAAGGACTTGGAAGCCGTAGAAAGTGGGACAGCTGCTCTGCACTGCGAGCTGACCAAACCTGCTGCGGTGGAGTGGAAGAAAGGGCAGGAGGTGCTCAAAGCAAGCAGCAAATACAAAATGAGCCAAGATGGTGCTGTTGCAAAGCTGATTATCCATGAGCTGGAAGTGGAGGACACTGGAGATTACACCTGTGTGTGCGGGGATCAGCAGACAACTGCCACTTTGACAGTCAATGGTAAAAAAGAAAAAAAAAAAAAAAAAGGAAAAGGTTATAACATTTTCTGAAAATAAAAATTGTGGTTTAGTGTCACTTATGGAGAAGATCTGACTACAATTCATAAGGTGTGCAGAATATCATGGTCTATACAGGCTGATAGAGTGTCCAGGTAGAAAATAGGAATTGCAATGCAGAAGTAAATGCATTTTGTCAGTATGTTACTGTCAGGACAATTGTAATCTCTCCTGCAAGTGGCCGCCTTAAGAGGGAATCTGAACTCTCACAACTCCCTGTTGATCTTCAGAATACCGCTTCAGTGATCAGGGCAATGTGTCAGCTGCTTTTATAGTAGGAGAAATATCCTGCCACTTTTACATCATCTATTAGATTAAGCTTCTACATACTTCATGGCAAATGTAACTTCTTGAAACAGATTTCTTCTTGTTCTGCAGATATTCCTATTACTTCTCTGGGGAAATAGCCTTATACTTTGAATCTAGAGCATTGACGTTTAGAGGCATCTGCAAAATTTTTTTTTCTTTCTACTTTCTCTTTTCCAAACGCCAGCTGCAGTATGTTGCAAGTTATGTTTCTATTTTATAGCCCTACCAGCGCTTTTTAAACAAGAGCTTCAGAATACCGAGGCAGAAGAAGGTGGTACAGCAACACTGAGGTGTGAGCTTACCAAACCCAAGGCTCCAGTAGAGTGGAGGAAAGGAGATATTACTCTCTACCCTGGTTTGAAATATGAGATGAAGCAGCAGGGCTCCACTGCTGAACTGGTCATTTATGACTTAGAACTGGATGATTCAGGAAGGTACATCTGCGACTCTGGACATCAGCAGACAGCGGCTGTGGTAACCGTACACGGTAGGCAGAGCATTGACCCTTGGCTCAATAGAGGTGAAGGGAAAAGAGCATCTCTCAGTGTTCTTCACAGGCATTTACTCGTTTTGCTGCTGGTCCATGCCAGCGTACGTATTCTACTTGAGCATGACACATGGTCAAGACAGAAAGGTTCTGCTTGCAGTATCTGAAGTGATTAATCAGCATCAAAGCAATTAAAGGATGCCGTGACGTCGAAATATGATTAGCCCTCCTGCCCTCAGAATGCAGAGAGTGTGGCTGCATATGGGAATGGACAACAGAAAAAAGCCAGGCAGGCTGAGGGTTATTTTGGGTTGTTGGTTGCTTCAGTAGGTCTAAGGGACTTAACTGGACGTAATGCCTGACTGGGATGGTAAGAGATAGAACAATTGGTGGACAAAGGACTTCTGTAACATGTGAATGTGCTGTATTATTACTTGAGGCTTTGAGCCTCAGGTGAAAACTTTGTCTGCAGACAACTGCACCCACATCTGTTGTCCTCCACCCCTTCTACCATCCAGAGCAAGACCTTGCCTGAATTCTGAATTTCCTCTTCCATTTATCGCTTGATTTTCGTCTTTTACTGTACTGCCTCTTCTTGTGTTTTGAATGCTAACTTGATCTTTTATATGTTAATAGAAATTTTATTTGGGGGGGAAAATACTCTTCGCTTAATATTGCAAACTTGGAGACCTTTATAAAGGAACAAGGGTCCATGTAAGAGAGAGCATGTCCCAGTAATCCTTGACTAAAGCATCTGTAGTTGGCATGGAGACACACCTATAGGAAAATCTGACTCCTTTAGATCACAAACCAGGCCGTTCTGTGGACCACTGTCTAAGACCAGGTCTTTTCTAACTTCCCATCAGTCCTCAGCACTTGGTTCATGTAATGGTTCAAGAAAGATGCTGCCAGGACAGAGAGTTGCAGCCTAAGGACTATGGAATCACTAGAACAGGCCATTTCTGAAGATCGATGGTAGGATTGGATCCTTTTCGGACTAAAACACTCTTAAAACATTTCCCTCTCAAATTTTGCAGCACTGCCTGTCACATTTAAGCAACCCCTACAAAATAAGGAGTCAGAAGAAGGAAGTACAGCAACATTCTGCTGTGAGCTGTCAAAACCCAATGCTGCAGTGGAATGGAGGAAAGGAGGAGCAGGGCTGCAGCCCAGCCAGAAGTATGAAATGAGGCAGAGGGAATGCCTGGTAGAGCTGTTAATACATAATCTCAAATTAGAAGATACAGGAGAATACAGCTGTGATACTGGCGATCAGGAAACTAAGGCGTATTTAAATGTGAAAGGTAGGTGGTGTGAGCTGACTCCTAAAGCAATAGATTCCATCCAACATGCACAGCAATGGGTAGAATATGAGTATTTTTCAGTACACAATGTGTGTGTGTGTCCCCTTAAATATTTTCCTTTTCATCTGATATACTAGGATTTCCTTTATTTTTCAATGACAATGGAAGAGGATGATACTTTGTTCTTCCAGTGCTGCATTTGAGTTTTGGGTTCCAAGGAGAAATATGTTCTAGATTTAAGGCTGGGAAGAAACTAAAGAAAGAGCAACGCTTTAACGTAACGCCTGGACATTTCACGGGACATGAAGTTTAAGTATTTAAAAAAAGATTTTCTTCCAAATCCTGGAAGAAGACTGACAACGACCTTCCTGATCTGTGAAGGTTGTCCACGGAGCTTTGAATTCTTTACTCTTGAGATCATTGTTAGATCAACTGGAGGATAAATTCATTCAAACATTTCAACCCTGGGAAGGATTTGAGTCAAGGAACAAAGGAAATAAATGTTATAAGTGCAGATGGCTGCTTCTAACACAGCAAGATCTCAGAGTAGCTCCAGGCAAATCAGAAAACATGGATCCTGCCTAGGGACATAGCACTTGCAAAGCACAGTGTCTTGTTCTCCACAGTGTCAGTCTAACTGTGTTAGCCAGGGCTTGACTCAGGCTTCAATAAAAGCTCCTGTTGCTTCTTTTTTTTCCCCCCTTTAGCTCTGCCAGTCCTTTTCAAAAAGGAGCTCAAAGACAAAGAGGCAGAAGAAGGAGCTGCAGTGAAATTCCAGTGTGAGCTGACAAAGGATAATGCAACGGTGGAGTGGAGGAAAGGCACCATGGAGCTCTTTCCATGTGCCAAATACGACATGAAATTAAGTGGTCGCACAGCTGAACTTGTGATTCATAATGTAGAACCAGAAGATGCCTCTGATTACACATGTGATACAGGAGACCAGCAGAGCACAGCAGTCCTCAGAGTGAATGGTTAGCATTGCATCAAAAGGGAACAGAGGATAAAAGGCATCTGTGAAGTTGTGTGAACGATGTTCTTTTATTTATTGGTGAACAAATCCCTCCAAAAGTTAAGATAATGAGGAAAGCAGGTGCCTAGTCATAACCCAGAATACAGAAAAGTGGATCTTGTAGGACAGGATTTGTAGAATGGCTATTTAAGCCCATGAAGCACGGTGTACGGTGTTTTGAGCCCTTCCTCTGGTACTGATAAAAGCAAGAAACTCTGCCTTGTGGGGATTTTGAAATTCTAATAGATCTTTATTTTTGGCGCTTTGCATTCATTGCTGGTTCAGTTGAATCAATACCTAATCATAAGTCATTTACAAAAGCACTTAAAAAATTCCCTATTTTCAATTTTTATAATGCCATCCTATGAAGATCCCGAGAACACTGTGTTTAACCAACCAGGAATAATGTCTGTGATTAATCGCCATCTGTGAAATGTTTGTGGTCATCTCAAACTGTTGGGGGGAACTTGTGGCTTTGATCTAAGCCATAACCGTTCTAACTATATCCTCTTGGCTGAACCTGACCCACAAAGTAGCCACCGGGTCAACTATGAGTGAGGGAACCCTGTGAATAAATGTAGTCTGTTTGTTTGTGCATCATCTGGAAAGACTCACTGTTGATGACACTTGAAAAGAGAGCAGAGAAATCAGAAACGTGTTTAAAGCTTTACATCATTTACGGTGGTGGAAGTCATGAGTATTTCTATAAAAATGAACAGATTTACACTATTTTAATTGGAAAGTATGAGGTTTTGCTTAGTCAAAACCTTTATGGATGTTGGAGTTTCCAATGTCCAGCGCAGATGTATAAAAGGTGTAATGTGGATGCCTTTGATTTTATGGGAAACAGACATATTTGGGGAACTTCCTGATCCTCTCCTTGTCCGGATATACAGACTACAAGTCTATTTATAGAGAAAAATGTGTTGTTATTATCATATAACTACTTAATGCAAATTTGTTCTGCGGCATTAGATCCCAGGTGCCTTGTGCTGAGTCGTGCAGACCTGGCATTCAAGCTAACGGATCATGTATGAATTGTTTTTCACTTTGCAGCCATCAAACCCCGGCTGAAGCAGCAGCTGAAGAATGAAGAGGTGGAAGTGGGAGGAACAGCCAGGCTGCGCTGTGAGATTTCCATTAGCAAAGCAGAAGTGGAGTGGAGGAAAGACGGGGTCGTCCTTCACTCAAGCTCCAAGTACGAAATGCGGCAGGACGGCACCCTCCGCGAGCTGCGTGTTCACCACCTGGAGCCTAGTGATGCTGGGGAGTATTCCTGCAAGGCTGGAGATGAGACAAGCTCTGCAAAACTGACCGTGAAAGGCAAGACCCGTTTATTAGGGCAAGGGGATTTTCACTTTAGGATGCTAAGATTTTGCAACGTAATTGTTACTCCTGTGATAAACAATCGTGCTAAACAGTTGTGATAAACGCAGAGAATGGGGAGGGTCTCATAAAAAAATCTTACGGTCAATGAACGCACTGAAGCAAAGGTACGCTTGGTGGACAGGAGAGGGTAAGACAGCTGTAATTTTTGACTCGTGGCTTGAATTATTTGCTTGACATCACATGCGTGTGAGTGAACAGATGGTTCATCCCCAGCTTCCAGTCACATGGCAGCTGCATCTGGCCTTAATGTCATTACAGAGAGAGCTTGCTTTCAGGTTGGTCCACCAGTGTGGAACAATCACCGCTAGAATCTCTACAGGCTACTCAATATTGTAGATACTCTATTTTATGCCCGGCTGCACCATTTTTTGTGCAGATGGTGACTTCAGCTGCATGAATACGTACTGTGTTTGCTCAGATGAAGATTGCGCCGCTTCTCCTTTGGCATTCCCCAGCAGATTCGGGGTACGCACGGCTTTTGCCTGTTGCAGGCTGTCTGTATGATCTTTGCACAGACCTGCAGGTGCCCAGCTGTCCTAGAAGCAGGACTCATGCAAACTGAAGCACAAATGCCCCGTGCTCATGCTAATCCAGTAAGTCCTGCTGGGAGCACAGAGTTGACCAGATCCCCAGCCAGTCTGGAGTGCCAGCATATACAGAGCATATGCAATTCTGTCTGAAAAAAAGCAGGTTTTAATGTTATTCTGTGAAGATATCTAAGCACAAACGTAATTAGTTTCAAAATCCTGAATTTGGCATCTAGCTTTCACACTTCATTCACCCAATTATATTATCAAGATGCAATTTAAAAAAAAAATAAATCAATACTCAATGTATCTTTGAGGAAGGACAAGGAATAAAACCACTGACCGAAAGATAATGGCCAAGTACCCTGAAAGTAGTGAACCAGCAGTGTTTGAAACGTGATTTGAGAAGCTGTGCTATCTCCATCCTTGGAGGTACTCACAGTGCAGCTGGACAAGGAGCTGAACAACCTGCTGTAAGGTGGCCCTGCTTTGAGCCGTGGTTGGACCAGATGACCTGCAGAAGTCCCCTCCAACCTATATTACTCAATGTTTCTCTTATTTGATCCATGTTTTCCTTTTCATGTCTTGACTACTGATGGACTCTTTGCAGAGCCTGATGTGACTATCGTGAGTGGCCTAAAGGACATGGCGGTGTTTGAAGGGGACGATGTCACGTTTCGGTGCCAGGTTTCTCATGAAAATGCCAGGGACGTTGAATGGAAGCTACAGGATGTTGCTCTGCAAAATAATGAAATGAATGAGATCTCAGTGGAAAAAGGGAAGATTCACACCCTGACATTAAGGAAGGTGACTGAGCAGGACATTGGCACCATTGCTTTCCGAGTAGGACCGCACACGTCAACAGCAGAGCTCACGGTAAAAGGTAAGGGCTCTCTGTGCTGTGGGAAAGGAACAGGATTGTGGGAACAGGTGACATTTTGCTTATGCTAATAGTAAATTCAAGGCCACCATTCACCCCTTCTTAGCTCATGTTAGTAGGGCGCTTATGCTTCAGAGCATGCATGATGGATGGATGTGGTCTCCTGTCCATCATGGGTAGACAATGGATATGTCATCAGGGTCCTGAAGCGAACTGGTTTCTAGAAAAATTACTGGGGCAACTCCAGTAGGTGGATTGTCGGATCTGTAACTTTCATTGCGTCGGGTTTCCCTTTTCTTCTTTTCTTTTCTTCTTTGGAGTCTTTTCTCCTCTAAACACTGCTTTGAAGACATTCTCAGTCAAACATCCTTCTCCTTCCCTCTTTGAAGTTGTTGATCTGGTCAAAGTCCCAATCTCACCTGAACTGGCTAAAACATCCATAAAGTTTTTGATTACTACTTCACTAACTTCAACAAGTATTTGTGAGTGGATTTCATCTAAAATCCATTCACTTATTTTAACTCCCCAATATGTAACACAGAAGTTAAAGTATTTTTAATACTTAACTGTGCAGCTGTAGCTTTAACGCTGCAGGGAAACAAAATAAAGGTGACTGCAAATACCTTTGCTGTGCTTGTAATTTCAGTGCCACCTCCAGTCTTTAAGGAGAAATTACAGAGCACAGAACTGCAGGAAGAAGAAACAGCCATCCTCCGCTGTGAGGTCTCCCAGCCTAATGCTGCCGTGGAGTGGAAAAAGGGTGCTCAGGTGATTTCCCCAAGCTCCAAATATGAAATCAGGCAGGAGGGAACAATCCATACGTTAAAGATTTATCACTTAAAACCAGAAGACTCTGGCAAATACACCTGTGATAATGGAAATGACCAAACGACAGCCACTTTAACTGTTAAAGGTAAGTTGTTGTAGGGTTTTTTTTTTCTTTTTAAGATGAGAAATTTGTTCCTCTTCCTTAGCTTAGTACTAGGCAAGAGGGTGCTGTCTACTGTCCTTGATTTCAGATGTACTTTGTTGGCATGAAGCAGCCGAGCCCTTTCGCTTTCAGAAGTTGTGTTAAGTCCCGTGGTGTCCTGAGCAATGAATATGGAGGGACCCAAGTGCTGTAACTGCTTCCACAATCCTTGACCCAAGGGCCTCTTTCTGGTCACTCAGAAAACCGAGGCTGTAACTAAAATTACAGTGAGAGCATTTTTGATGCTGAACGATCTCGGAGCTGTAGTTCCACCTGTGAAAATGGTGCTCAAGAGTCAAAGTGCTCAAGAGTCAAAGTGCTCAAACTTACTTGGGCACTCAACTCCAGCTGATGAGCAAGGCACATAAATACTTCTAGTGCCTAGGGTGACAGTATATAATTTTTTTTAAATCTGCTCTTGTACAAATACCTTAAATAAGGTGATTTATTTCTGAGATACAAGATCAGCAAAAATAAAGAGGAGCCAGGGATGTGGGACTTAGCTGCATAATGGGATGCCTTCACAGCAATGCAACTGTACAAAAGCCTTGACCCCAGCTGTTCCCTGTCTGTCCCACAAAACACACCATCCCTTCCTACATCACCTGGAAGAACCCTCAGATCTATCTCCTCTTATACACATCTACCATTCGGTTCCTGTGAATTCACTGTGATTTCTGGAACTTCATCTCCTTCCTTTGAAAACACCAATTCAGCCGTAACTGTGGAGGCACCGAGGTTCTTCCAGGGAACTGGACTTAAGGAACTAAACTTCTGCATGTGGTGCATTGTAAATCAACCCATCAAAACTCCATCTTGACCCATCAGTGATACACATCTGTGCAGAGACTTCCAGAGTTCATTTCTCTTCTGGGTCCAGTTTTCAAACGAGGGGCATTATATAATAACGTTTCTCCATGCACCCTCCCAAATATCCAAGAACTTAGATATCAGCGGCAGGCTTTTGAGTTGTGGTTTTGGTACCCATTTGGAGATACATGGACTTAGATGCTCAAGAGTCCATATCTGTGACTGCCTCTGTATAAGAAGGAACACATTCCCAGAGGTGTTTGGCCCAGTGACTCTTGGGGGGTGCAGACTGCTTATTGCTTCTGGAAATCCAGACCTTTCTTTCATTCCTTGTTCGAGTTTCAAAGAAATTTTGGGATTGAGTTTGAACAAAATTTGGCAAGGCACCACAGTTTCATTAAACTGAAGATTTAGTGACCCAGTCAGCAATGAAACATTTTTTTTTCCCTCTTATTTATCTTGGTTTAGCTTTGCCAGTAATCTTCACACAACCACTCCAGAACCAGCAAGCCGAAAAAGGCGGCACTATCACTTTGAGCTGTGAAATCTCGAAATCAAATGCCACCGTGCAGTGGAAGAAGGCCGGGACAGTGCTGCGACCAAGTGACAAATACAAGATGCATCAAGCTGGATCCGTGGCTGAGCTGACGATTCACAACCTGACTGAAGCTGATGCTGGAGAATACACGTGCGACACAGGGGACCAGCAAACCACTGCAGCTGTACTTGTGAAAGGTGGGGCTTTGCGCGGGGAAGAGCTGAACAGAGCTTGGTACCGTGGCAGGGGCATGTGATTAAGTAATTTGACAGCCAGACATTTTCCTATGCCCAAACTGAATCATGGGGATCTTGATGAGAGTGATCTCAGAGGGATAAGAACTGTCTCCATTACTTCTCAGAAATGAGTCTTTAGTCAATGATTCTGCGGTTTAATGTTAATGTCACCCACTAAAATCTGTTGACACTGTTTTCACAATGCACAGATTGCATTATAAATATATATTGTGTATTTACTATACACACAATACAGCATACCATGCATACTTTATAGACTATCATATGTATGTGCATAATATATAGGCACACATCCGTAATTACGCATCTGTAAGAGCGTGACATGTTACTACATACCCATGTAACTACGTTTCCATGCATTTAGTGCTTAGTGCTTTGTGGTTGCTCTTTTGAATAATCTAGTACTGTCAAGAAAGAGCATAATGAAATGTTTAACCCAGGAAGCATCCCTGGAAAGTAGATATCAAACTCTGTTGACCTTTCCATAAAGAACCAGCAGCAACCATAGTGGAGACGCTGAAGGACGTCACTTCGTACGAAGGAGAAGACGCAGTGTTTGAATGCAGGCTGTCCCAGGAAACAACTCAGGATGCCCAGTGGTTCCTGGGGGATGTTCCCCTGCAATCCAATGAAATGAATGAGATCAGAGTCCAAGGGGCGCGTCACACGTTGGTCCTGAGGAAGGTGACGCTAGAAGACTGTGGGCCCATCAGCTTCAAAGTCGGGCAGCATGCCTCAGCAGCACAGCTGACGGTCCAAGGTGAGCAGCCTCCTAGGAAGAGGGATTGAGGAGGTACTGGTAAGCACTGTCTTTAGCTTCTGAAGAGGTGTATTTGGGAGGGAGGGGTCCTTGGAAACTTTAGGAGATTCTGCTAACCTAATTTAGGCATTTAAGAGCTAGATATGTACATCTGAGCTAGTCGTTTCAGTCCTTTTTATAGTCCATGGAGCGAGGGAAACATCCTTTGAAGGGGATGCAACTTATGCTGAAACAAGCAGCCAAGATATGTCAGAATTAATGCTGAAGAATGTCAAGAATTTGCTCCGAACTAATCTGCTTATGATGGTTTTAGATCATACTTACTCCAAGAAACATCAAGAACCTCTGAAAACCCTTTCCATTAAGTTATATTTTGAAAGATGGGCCATGTCAATACCTTATCTTGTTTGTTCCTGTTCAATCTGGTTCAAAATGTAACTATAGGCACCCAGTTCTGATCTGGGGGCAATGCTGGATTAGGTGGTTGCAGCAGCGTTGGTACCCTCTTCCCCACAGTTGCTCCGGTCACCATTGTAAAGGCGCTTGACAGCTTGGAGCTACAGGAGGGTGGCACAGCTCGCTTGTCCTGTGAGGTGTCCAAACCTGATGTCCCTGTGGAGTGGAAGAAAGGCACGTCCGTGATCCGCTCCAGCCAAAAGTTCAGCATCAAGCAGGAGGGGAATGTGCACACGCTGGTCATTCACGATGTGAACTGTGCAGACTCAGGGGAGTATAGCTGCCACACGGCTGGTGGGAAGAGCACTGCCAGAGTGGAGGTTAAAGGTATGATTTTGTCTTTGCTCAGCAGTGGTGAGAGGCGTGCATGTCAAATTTGGGGGCTCTCTAGTACAAGAGAGATGTTGAGGTAGTGGAGCAAGTGCAGCAGAGGCCACCAAGTTTCAGAGGGCTGGAGCACATGAGGTATAAGGAGAGGAAGGGGCAGGGGCAGCTGGGTTTGTTCAGCCTGGGGAAGAGAAGGTTGAGGGGGGACCTCATTGCTGTCTGCAGCTTCCTAATGGGGGTCTACAGAGGAGAGAGAGACAGACTTTCTTTGGGGCGCTCCGTGAGCAGATGAGAGGCAAGGGTGAGCTTCAGCAACAGAAATTCATATTAGGAAAAAACCCAACCCTTTTACAATGAAAGGGTGGTCAGACACTGGAACTGGGACCCAGTTTGGCAGAGAAATCTCCATCCGTGGAAGACCTCCAGAGGTCCCTTCAGCCTTAATTATTCTGTAATTGATCCCTGGCCGTGCGATGTCAAGTTGTTCTCAAAACGGTGCAGCCTCAGGTCTGGACGTGTGCATTCTTTGAGTGCTTGTATCCTGTTCTGTGGTTTTATTTTGGGGTTGAAAACCCCTCTGGGCTTCAGAAATTATTATTTAAGTTAGTTGGGAATTCTTTGTGGAAAGAAATCTAGGCTATGGGGAGAGAAATGCAGCTCCTGTAGAACCAAAATTTTTCCTGCTTGTTAACTCCTTTCCCTCCTCCTCCTCTGTCTGGCTTAGACCTAGACATCCCCGCCCCTGGCAGGTCGCCTTAGGTAAATGCAGACAAAATTGTTCATGAACATCATCAATGGCATTTTCAGTACCTTAAAAATAAAACATTCCTCCACTTTCTATTTTTGCCTTGCCCGTTTTTCTCTCTTATTCCCCGTTTCAAGCCCTGCCCGTGCTTTTCAAACACTGGCTGAAGAACGAGGAGGTGGAGGAAGGGGGCACAGCCATGCTGCACTGCGAGCTGACAAAACCCAACGCCCCCGTGGAGTGGAGGAAAGGAGATAGGGTGCTGCAGCCGAGTGACAAGTATGAGATCCGGCAAGAGGGGACACACGTTGAGCTCTTCATCTATGATGCCGAGGCTCAGGATGCCGGCGATTATACGTGCGACTCGGGGGATCAGCAGACCACTGCGTCGCTGCAAGTCAAAGGTAGGAGAAGCCTTGCCTGAAGGCAGGGAAGTTATGGCTGAGGCTGTTCTCCATAGGGGTGACAAGGAGGTTTTATCACTGAATTATCATCAACACTGTGTTGTGAATGACAACTGGAGGAAAGGGTGTGATCCACAATCTCTTCTTCAAAGAATTTAGCGCCTTTTAAACCCATTTCTATTCCTGCCATTGCAATTTTGATCTCACTGTGAGAGCTGGGAGCAAAACTCCAGCTGCTGCTAGTGGAGGGTGTGCACAAGAGCCTTTAGAAAACTTGCCTGCTACCCGACAACAAGAGACTGGAGTATTTCACCATACCTAGAACAGGCCCATTGTAAATGGAGCCTGAGCAGCCCAAGATTTGTGGCTCTTTTTCTAATAGCTACATTTTTGGATTTTATAGTTTTATTCTTTTTATACTTTTATGTGCTGATTTTATACTTTTATTAATTTTAAAGCAACAAGATCATGCTTTTAGATTCTGAGTTTAGCCCCCATAGCCAGGTCCTTCTTGGAGTGTGTGGTTTCATCGATTAAAAATCCAAATGCTGTGACTGGTAGTGTTGTGCCTCTAACTGCTTACACTGAAAATTGTATGTTCGCCCACATGAAGCCCCTTAGAGGTCCTGTGACCTACGTCAGTCCCTTATGGAGCAACAGTGGGCACCCTCACTGTATCAGCACCTGATCCCCATGAGTGTCTTGTGGCTACAGCACAGCTCAACGTCCTGCTCTGGGCTTGGCATGGCCAGCAGGCCCGTTGTGGTTCAGAAAGAGGGGAACTACCAAGATGGAGAAGTGGCAAGCAAATTTCTCACCTCTACGCACTGTCACTGATGCAGTTGCTTCTCCACCGCAGTATTACCTGTGCTGTTTAATGAAGAGCTGAAGAACGTAGAGGCTGAAGAAGGGGGAACAGCTGTCTTGCACTGTGAGATCTCCAAGCCGGATGCCCCCGTCGAGTGGAGAAAAGGAGGGATGGTCATTCAGCCCAGCGACAAGTACGAGATGAAGCTGAAAGGCAGTATTGCTGAGCTGATCATCCATGGTGTTGAGCCTGATGACTGTGGGGATTATACCTGTAGCACTGGCTATGAGATCACCACAGGCTCTGTGTATGTGCAAGGTAAGGTGAAACGTGGTGGAAATGCTCTGGTTTTGCTGCCTGGATTTCTTATTCCAAAATCTTTGGCAGTAACTGGCCAAAACTGTCTCAGATGCAAACAGTTGAAAGTCCATTCATTTCTTTCCTTGATTTCTGTGAAGATATAAACACTTACATCCAGGCTGAAGTTGGACCAATGTTTATAAGTTAAGGTAGTTCAAAGTCCTGGCCATACTGTGTACCATAGCAGATGGTGGTACTGCTGAAAAACTATTTACTTGGAGCAACAGCCATAAAAAATACTTGTTACTACTGATTACAGCTTCTATCACTGCTGATACTCTTATTATTCTTTTAAAGCACTGTAAGTAAACATTTAAATCTTAAGCTATCTCTCTGCCTCCCACCTCGTACAACGTCAGTGCAGATGGCTGCAACATGCAGGAGAGCCAGTCATGACCTGGTCATGGAGTAGATTTTCCTCCCAATGAAACAGTGTTTGCAGACACACACACTGCGCTTGCAAGCGGGTGAAGGATGGAAGGTGATTTCTAAACCCGTTAAAGACAATTTAAGCTCTTTTTTCCCTGAAATAGCATTACAGGTTTAACTCCCCTGGACTGTTGCTTGGGCTAGTTCTGTAGGAAGAGACATGTATATGTTGATGCTTTTATTTTCCTTTGGCACCTTCTCTTGCTCTGTTATACAGAAGAAGCAGCAGTCATAGTTTCTGGTTTAAAGAACACAGACGTCTTTGTGGGCGAGTCAGCCACGTTCACCTGCGAGCTCTCGCACCCGGGCGTGAAGAACGTGCAGTGGTGGCTCGATGGATCTCCCCTTCACAACAACTTTGTGACTGAAATCTCTGAGCAGGACGGGATGATCCACACTTTAACCCTAAATGACGTGGCGTGCCATGACTCAGGCACTGTCACCTTCAGAGCTGGGTCCCTTATATCTACAGCTAAATTATTAGTCAAAGGTATTTCGTTGTTAGAAAGAAACACATGGCCACCTCTGGACTTGCTCAGTGCACTAGTGCTTCTGCCTTCTAGGCTACCCTTACCAAATCCCTTCACAGTTCTGTGTCCTGCAGCCCTCCACTTCTGAAAGTCACCCATACTCACGTCAGATGTCTTCTAGGTACAACTATTTTGATTTTTTGAGTGGTTCAGGTGACAAAGGGTTGCCGGGTCAGGGCTGCTGACATCTAAGTAGAGCTGAACATAAACCACTGTGGTAATGTGATATTTTTTTTTTTATGCCCCCTTCAACTGTTTTGATAATACCACAAAATATGCAGCCAGAAATTCACAAAATTACCACTGTGCAGCTCCATAGCTAGGCTGCTGGTGCTGAGCTCAGTATGTTCCCAAGGCAAAACCTTGGGTTGTTATATTGATGGCTCCAGAGCTCTTCCTGAAACCCCAGGGTATGTGACACTGGGGCAACACGAGCCTTGTTTGTTGACTGCCAGAACAGTAATGGTCTTCACTGCACCAGCAAAGCTTTCCAGTCTGTTGAATAAATATTTTTCTCATTTGGTAAGGGTAGCCACAAGCCGCAAATAACACTGAGCTCCAGACTCGATAAAGCAAGCTCCTTCACATCCAGTCCTTTTATAGCCATTGGGAAAAGTTGTTATTTTTCAGACGAAAGTAACACTTATTGCTTGCTTGGAAAGGGGATTTGTATATACAGCGATACAAAGGGTTAGGAGTTCTTTATTAAAATCTACCCCCATGCTGTAGCTGTCTACCATAACAGGAATGATCCACAATATGGAATTGTTTTCAGCGGTTGATGTCTCCTGCTCTGTATAATGTCTCCCTGGTATATTCAGAAAGTTTAACTCTCTGCAAAGATAAAATGCCAAATCACTTCTTCCTAATAGCAGAACGACGTCACAACACAGCGAGCAAAGCCCACAAATCCCATGTCCATTTGTATCAATTTTGAGTTTCACATTTTCGGAGACAGAACCTGGTTCTGAGCTCTCTAGGCAAAGAACACCAGTGGGCCTGAAACATAAATTAAAAATAAATGCATCATTAGCCCTTCTATTCAGTCAAATAAAGGGCTCCTGAGTAGTTTTCATTTCACAGAATCACAGCATCGTTGATGTTGGTAGTGACCTCTGGAGATCATCTACTCCAACCCCACAGCTCATGCTAGTACACATATGGATGTGGATATTTTGCCCTTCTATTAAGACAAGATTGCTTTAATGTGAACCTGAATCACAGCGGTATATGACTATGATTGGATTAGGATGAGAAAGGTGTTTAAAAAACACAGCAGTTACACTGGGCTCAATGGCACTTAATTTAGTCGGAAAGTAAAACACTAGTAAAATTCTAACTGTGCTTGTATGAACAGCCAATTTTGTGCACTTTATTTTGTACACAAATTTAAAAATAGGTATGTCTTCAGACAAGGTGTATTTCAGTGTATCTACCTCCCCATGGCTTGTTCTTCATCAAGGAACAAGTTGTCTTTCTGTTCCATGTGCCCCATTCTCCCGGTGTAAGGTATGTTTGTAACTGGATATATTCTATAATAAGTGATATTTCACGACAGCTTTTCTTGGGGGCCTTCAGAATATCATTGTCCTACAACTTCATCCATTTAGTGTCCCAGCATGACAACATCTTCACGTATGGGTGAGGAGAAAATGGAAAAGGTTGAAGGAGCTGCTGCCTTCTGACCCCTTTGGACAGGGTAAGAAGTACAGGCCCTAGGGTACACATTGGCTCCTAAATCCCAAGGAGATTTCTGCCGTTTTGCATGGGTGAATAGGGCCACCAAGGTCTCAGCCTAGCAGTGGCAAAGAGCAACGGGGCAGCGGAACCAGGACACCTTCCTTTTCCAAGACCACAGGTGACATTTGCTGTGAGGAGAACATGTCCACATCTTATGAAAGGAGGCGGTGGTGTACTCCCCAGCTGCACAGATGCCTTCTTGCTTCTTCAGTCCTGATGTAACCAAAACATCTCCAGGATCTGCCATTGATGCCTCCTCTCCATAAACACACATGCAGACAGACAGAGTGGTAGAGCGAGCTTTAGAGAGCAGGATCAAGACTTGCAACCAATTTCCAAAAGACATTTGCAGAACTATCTTTGCTTCCCAAGGTCTGCTAGTAGCATCCCAAATCCTCAACCTGATGCACCAGTTTCAAGAGGAGCATTCCAGACAGGTCCAGTGTAGTTTATTCTAGCTGGCTTGTGATCAGAACAACTATTTGAAAGATAAGGACATATATCAGCTTTCTCTGACATCTTTTTATGTCCCATTGTAGCCCTATCCATTTTTTGGTGAAGCTGACACAGTTCTGCTGAGAAGGACGTTGCAGAGAGACTTCCATTTCAGACTTGACTGAGATTTTTCTTTTTAGTATATATATTGCTGTTATATGCAGGTGGTCCAATTTGATATCTCAAGAGGGATCCCTTGGCTGCTCACAATATTTTGAAGTAGATATATCTACTACACCCTACAGCTGCCTCCCAAGAAGAAGAACTAGTGTTTTAAAAGACTGGATGCTTAAAAGCAGCCTCATGGATCTCGCCTTCTTCAGAGGAGCTGCAGATCCATCTGCTCTCAGCATTTTATGGGCTCTCAATCTGAGATTACAATGGTTCATGCTGCATCTCTAGATCAGCTGCTGTAAAGGAAATCATATTCTTTTCCTCCAAACTATGTCTCTGCTGCAGAGGAACGCATGGGTAATCAAAACAATAAGTACCTGACTCCTGTGAAGTGCCCTTTTTTTTTGTTACAGTTGTCCTGGATCTGCAGCTCCTCATGCTCCCAATGACTCCTGACATACAGCCATCACCACCACAGCACAGGAATGAGTGTTTCCATTCGAGTGTTGCATTTCTTTCCCATGAGTGGTTGCAGTTTGCTCATACAAGGAGCCTCCAGCAGAGTTTGCGTCATTTTCCTGTTGCTATATGAGGCTGAGACTTCCAGGGAACCACTCACAGCAGCCCATCCATTGCAGTCTTCTGTCTCACACTTGCGCTCCTGCCACATTCTGGGAAGCAGAAGCATTTTGCATCCAGTATTTCCTAGTCTAGAGGGTCTCAGAAATGCTGGGAGTAAAAGTAAGCCTGGAGGGAACCCCAGCACGTGTTCTGTGCAGGATTTCATACTCAGGACTGTTGAAGCACAAGCCTTCATTGCCGGTGGCCCATTTTCCAGTGCGGTAGTTATATTCTAATGTACCAGTTTTGCTTCAATCCTGCTTGATGCTGACACAAGCACAGCCTAAATCGCTAATCCCCGTTGTGCCCAGTCAGCTTCCTGCTTGCACTGTCACTCTGCTTGCTCCCTGCGGGCTCTGTGCTTGTCAAAAATCTCTAAGTTGTGATTTCCACGAGGATCCACTAATGCATGTCCTTCCTGACGTGTTGGTTAACAGATCCAACCATTGAAGTGGTCAGTCCCATGCAGGATATAACTGTTGATGAAGATGGCACAGCAGAATTCATATGCCAATATTCTAGGCCAGTACACGCCATATGGAAGAAAAATGATCAGGAAATACATGCAGATGGGCAGCGAGTGATTATCGATCAGGACTGGAATGTAAGCATACTAAAAATTAAACCTACGGTACCAGAAGACACTGGCATCTATTCTTGTGAAGCTGAAGGCACTAAAGTGATGGCTGCACTTGATGTTCAAGGTGAGGTCTTCCAGCCAAAGAGGAAGACTATCATGGGTTCCAAATAAAAGAGGTGGAAAAATCATGGCAGCACTTCACAATAAGTGGCTCTTTGGTGTTCACTCCAGTACTGATAACAACGATAAAAGTAGTTGGGAGTTAATGGGAATCGAATATGAAGCTGCTGCATTTCACTGGAGCTTAGTTCTAATTAACACTCACTTATTACACCACTTACACATGATACCTCTTCTACAATGAACTGGAACATCAGTGCAATGGGATGTGTCCTGC